ATTGAAATCTTATATTATAAAATTCACTATTCAAAATCATGTGATTGTACCTGAGCTCTTAATTTGCTTTGTTATTAAAAAGGAAAAACGAAGATGAAGATGAAGATGATCACCAACATGCAAGATAATCAATGCGTAAAAGAGGCAAATCCTATATATTCTAATTAATTAAGGCAGAAGGGATTGATCATGTATTGGTTTCAAGGGCTAGTTTAAAAATAATTAGGCGCTTAACCCACACAAAAGAAGTCACAGTAACTTGTTGAAGTTATAGCATTAATCAGGCAAACAATCAATCATCATGGCATTCATCGCCCTTATATTATGACATTATTATTATTACTTTAAAGAGATGCAACAAATTGCTCATCAAACTTTTAGTTAGTAGCAAGCCAAATACAGCCAAGAAAAACCAAAAGAGATATTATTTGTTATGGTGGGCAGAGATTGGCATCATACCTTTCCTTGGTGGAGATCTTGAATAATGAAACTAAAAAAAAGAGAGAGAGAAAAATAAGTATTGAAGAAGAGCTAGGCAACTCAAAAATTAGAAAACGAAAAAAAAAGAGAGAGAAAAGAGAGAAAAATAACTTACGGGTTAGAGGTAGAGGATGAGGTATAGAAAATAGGTTTTGATGAGGAAAACTAATATATATATATATATATATTATATATTATAGTAAGTTGTTTAATTTGATAAGAATAGTAATAGTAGTAGTCCGGTTAAAGTGTATTGTTAATTGATACTCTTGTTCTTACGACACAGTATATATTGAAGACTAAAAGCAATAGAGTTCTAGGTAATATATAAAGGTCTACTCAACTTTTTTATTAATAATAAAGATATAAACAATATCTATATAAATAAAATTTAATTATATTAATTGTAGAATGACAAAATAGAAATATATTTGACAAATAAGGGTACAATAGGCAATTCAAAAGTTTTACAGGTGAACGTACTTTTTAATATAATATAGATAAGAAAATTATAATATTCAATTAAAACAAACTCTATGTAGCAAAAAAACTTAAAACAAACTCTGGCAAAAAAAAAATTAAAACAACAATTGAATAATAATAAATATTAATTAGAAGTGAAAGCATAGTGTATTATCAAGATACATTGAAAGGACTATTTGTTTTTGGCAAACAAAAAATTGTTTGGTGCATAAGGAGAAATGAAATAACGGCTCTGTCAAGTGTTTATTTGTAATAGTACAACCTTTCAAAAGCCACAAAAGCAATAGAGCAAAGGCAATAAGGCATAGAATGTTGTATTCAACTTTAAGAAGGCTGATAAGGTTAACCTCCTACGTTAATATAAGGACCAAACTTAGAGCCTTATTTTTGTTTTGGACAAAGAATCTGAAAATCCAGAACCATATTCACAACCATACCACTTTTTTTTTTTAAAAGGCAATTAGGTTATATCCATAACACTTTAACATGAATGAACAGTTATTTATAAGTAACTTCGAATTTCTACTTACAAATTGACATGGTCATATTCATGTTAAGTTCATAAAATAAGCAGAATCTCTATAAAAAGGTGCTAACACTTGTGTGAGTAATAAAAAGCCTCAAAATTGAAGCCAAATTCTTTAGCAAAATAACACTGAGACAATATAGATTCTAAATCCAAGTACAAATATTCACTCCCCAAGAAAGAAAATTAAGGATAACATTACAGTTTTTTCTGCAACCCAACTCCCAACAAATTAAAAGAACTTAAATCCGACTAACGATCTTTCTATTTCCTGCCTAATGAAGGTTCTCCAATCAACGAATTTGTCCACCAAAGTTGTCCATCATTTCCTTTACAAACAAATTTAGTGCAGCCAACGGAACAATGCATAGCCAACATGATTTGCAAAAGGAAGAAAAATATAAAAACAAAGGATCATGAGAAGTCCATGATCTATGGTAGTGAGAAGCCATTTATTAATGCTAAGAGAGGGATTTTTTGAGTAGGACACAGCAAATTCAGCAGATGTTTTGAGAAAGTAGTTAAAAGGATAAATATGATGGTATTGCTTATAGACCTACAAAGACTTTTAACATGATAGACGGTTAAGCCGAGCTTTAAGATGCCTTTGGGCGTAGCTCCTGCAAGTTTCGATTACCAACCAAATTAGCAAATGATGCATATATAACACTACCTAGAATTCCAACATGAGTAGGACAAGTACTCACGTTCCCCACCACCCAACTGAGTAACAGCTTCCACAAAATCCTCATGAAACTCTATAGTCCAACGCATATGGGACTTCGTTGGAGGAGCAGATAACTCTCCATGAGGTGCAGGTTGATACATTTTTCAGTCTTCTCATGAAGCACAAGAAATGAACAACAAAAAGTAGGGTACATGGCTCATTCTAATAAGATCAAAGAAAGCTTCCACTGGAACATCAATAACTTAGCTAGATAGATCTTATCCTCTTTGGAAGGCAAAGGCTAACATAATGGGGTTTTCATCAAAAAAAAAAGTCATTTGGCTCCAAAGGGGAAAATGTCCTAAGGAGTCTAATTACGAAATAGAATATAGATTCATCACTTTAGTTGAGTTTTGGTAGTTAAACAGTTCCAAATAGAATTGGATGTTATGTGGGAGCAGTTTCAAAATTGTATCACCTTAAAAATAATAAAACCAATCAATAAGGAACAAAGAAAGCCTATTCCCAAAGAAATTAAAGAATGAACCTCAAAAGTTGCTTACAGCGTTTCTGCCACCAACCCTCTCTAACAAACTATAGGAGGATACCTTAGATTTGGGATCTGAGGCATTAGTATTGTCCAGAAACTTGCTCTCCAATCTGGGTCCAGAGCATCACCAACAGAGACCAACTGATTCGCTCATTACTACCAACCAGCTGGCTTGTTTTGGTCCAAGTTGAAAAATTGACAATAAAGGCATGTTTTTTTTTTCATTATTTTAAGAAGGGTGAGGATCAATACCTTTGTCCTTGAAATACTCAGAGAGAATGTTACAATCAGAGCGAAGAGCTAAATCAGAGAAAACTGAAACCCATATCCTCACACTACTTCGAGCTCAGCTGTTCTCTCGAGATACGACGAACCTTTCTCTTTCGCAGGTTCATCTTCTATATCGGCGAACCTTTTGGGCGGTTCAGTGGCCAGTTTTCTTTCTTGTGGTGATGGAGCCTCGACGGAAGTGGCGGTGAAAGACAAAGGAGCAGGAGCTCAAAAGTTTGTAACTTTATTTGATGAGTTTAGATGATACAATATATATGGAAAATTTTCACCTTAATCGTATTTTGCCAAACCAAACAAATTCAGATTAAGAAGAAGTAATCATAGTCACGTTAATATTGTTGAAAAGGTTGGTTGAGATTAAAATTGGGAGTTTGGTTGAGATTAAAATTCATTAAGAGTTTGTCTAAAATAAAAGATTATATAGTATATTAATTAATGAATATTATAAAAAATTAAAATTTTATATAATGGCATTTTAGAAATATGTTTGACAAATAAGGGTATAATGGGCGATTCAAAAGTTTTACATATGAACGTACTTTTTAATATAGTATAGATTAATATAATAATAATGATTTTCATATTTCCTATTCCTATTTCTTGCAGCTGCCCTTCCCGTTTTTAATCCTCCAATTATTTTTCTTTAGGAGAATCCTTCAATTAATTAATTAGTTTTTTTAGGAGTAACAAGTAATATTAAACTTTTTGTACATATAAATAAAGGGTGATTATATGATATATCGGCGGTGTAAATTTTGGACTCCATAAGCGGGTTGTGGAGTTGACACATGTCTATTTTTTTAATTAATTAAGTTTTAACTATTTCAATCTAGTCCCTAGGAGACATATGTCACTCTTCAGCTTGTGTAGTCTGTTAAACTCCACTGGTGGTGTATTGTATAATTTGCCATAAATAAATTAGCCAAATAAAAGGAACAATTATCACCTTTGCTATTCTTCAAAACAAAAAATTTATCACCTTTGCTAAATGCTTTTATCAACAAGCATATAAATAATCATTTCCACGAAAAACTATCTAAAATATACTCCGTCCGTCCCAAATTATCTGACCCTTTTGGATCAAAGTAATCCTAACTTTGACCCTTAATAATAAAAAAATTATATAGAATTAAATTTTTAAAAATTGTGATTTGATTAAGTTAAGTCTTAAACTTTTCAAAACATATTTTTTGAAAATTTAATTGTATATATATATTTTTTTGTAATTAAAGGTCAAAGATAGAATTAGTTTGACCCAAAAGAGTTAGATAATTTGGGACAGAGGGAGTAGTAATTAATTTCCCCCAAACCATTTTCACATGATCCTTTCAAGCATATGTTTACTGCTGCGTGGAATAAGGGAGAGGGAAATTTGTCGATGGCAGTGGCACAAGTCAGCAAGGAGGTTAAGGTGTGGAGGAATGAGGTGTTTGGTAATATTTTTAAACGAAAACGAGTCCTTGTTTCCAGGATCTGTGGAATTCAACAAAGCCCGGATTATGGTAGATTTTCCTTCTTACAAGACTTGGAATCATGTCTTCAGCAGGAATACCATGAAGTTTTGCACCAAGAAGAATTGTTGTGGTTGCAAAAATTGAGACTTGATTGGGTCCAATCAGGTGAACGAAATATTAAGTTTTTTCACTTGTCTACTTTGGTGAGAAGACAAAGAAATTTTATTGTCAGTTTGAAGGTGGATGGTGTTTGGGTTTCGATGCAGTAGAGTTGGGCAGATCTGTGGTTGAGTTTTATAAGCTCCTTTTTGCCCACCATCATTGCCAAGCTCTTGAAGCAGCGTTTGATACTTTTAGCCTGAAAGCAACGGAGGATGAGCAGCTTCAGTTGTCATGCACCATAGATTTGGAGGAGGTGAAAATTGCTACATTCTCTATGAAGGGTTTGAAGGCACCAGGAGATGATGATATTCAACCCGTGTTCTATCAACGTAATTGGGATGTGGTAAAGGACACGTTGCTGGACTTTGTGAGGATGGCTTGGCAACATAGAAGAGTGGATTTGGACATTCTAAAAGCTCATATGGTTTTGATTCCTAAAAATCCACGACCTGTCTTTGTTAAGGATTTTCGCCCCATCACTTTGCTTAATACCTCCTATAAAATCCTTTCGAAGGTGTTGGTTAATCGTCTGTGACCTATCCTTTAGAGAATTATTGGGCCTTTCCAAAGCAGCTTCTTACCTGGATGAAGTACAACTGACAACATTTTGATCACCCAAGAGGTGGTTCACACTCTTATGGGGAGGAAGAGTCGACGAGGTGGCATGGTTTGTAAGATTGATCTCCACAAAGCCTATGATAGTATTTCTTGGCAGTTTTTTAGGGAGGTTTTGATTTTCTTCCATATCCCGATGAATATTGTTGAGCTTATTATGTTCTGTGTTTCTAATATTGATATTGTTGTGCTTTGGAATTGGGAGATTCTTCTAGCTTTTCGGCCTGAGAGAGGACTTCTTCAAGGTGATCCTCTTTCGCCTTACCTGTTTATTCTGGTAATGGAGAGTCTGTCCCATATGATTCTTGAAAATGTGGATTTAAAGTTATGGAAACCTATTAATGTTTCGCAATCTGGGCCTGCTTTCTCTCATTTATTTTTTGCTGATGACTTGATGCTTTTTAATGTTGCAGAAGAAGATCAGGTGGCAGTGGTTCGAGATGTTTTGTCTGATTTCTCGAAAGCTTTTGGTCTCCATGTGAATCTTGATAAGTCAAAATTATGGATTTCTCCAAATGTCCCTAATGTTAAGGCACAATGTTTGAGTAGATTATGTGAAATTCCGTTAGTTTCGGAACTGGGAACATATTTGGGAGTCCCAATTATACATGGGCGTGTCACCAAAAATACCTATAAACATATGATAGATAGAGTTTTGAACAGGTTATCCAGTTGGAAAGGTAAAGTCCTAAGTTATGCGGGGAGGCGAACTTTGGTTCAATCAACTCTAAACTCCATTCCAATTTATACTATGCAATCGACATTACTACCGGTGTCGGTGTGTAATCATTTAGATCAATGTAATCGGAATTTTTTGTGGAGTGGAAAGGCTGATAATTCTTACGGGCATTTGGTCTCTTGGGATCGTATTTGCCAATCGAAAGGTAATGGTGGTCTTGGTTTGAGAAAGGCTCGGCAGTCTAATTTAGCTTTGTTGGCAAAAACATGGAAGTTGCATATTCGACAAAGCAGTTTATGCACTGAGATTTTCCAAAAGAAATACTTGAAGGGGAGGCCTTTTGTTAACTCTACATCTTCGGGTAGATGTTCTTCTACTTGGAGGGGTTTATTACAAACCCGTGAGTGTATAAGGCGAGGCACTAGATGGAGAATTGGTAATGGTGCTAGTACTAAATTTTGGACAGATTGGTGGGTGAATCATAGGCCTCTGATTGAGATGGTCCAATGAGATGCTGTTAGTGTGGATAGAGAGGCTACGGTTTCATCGTTCCTTGATTAGTATGGATTATGGTAGTTGGATACGGTGGCTGCTCTTCTTCATCCGGCAGTTGTAAATGAGATTAGAGCAACCCCTTTTTTTGTCTCGACCCAAGGGAGTGATCGCTGCGTCTGGGGTTGGGACAAGTATGGGCAATTTTCTTCGAAGAGTGCTTATGGGGCTTTGATGAACCATGATGGTTATGATGAATGAAAAGGTCGATGTGTGTGGATTTGCCGTCTTCCTGTTCCGGAGAGGGTGCGATTTTTTTGTTGGCTTCTTTTTTTGAATAGTTTGAATACTTTGGAGATACTTCAAGGAAAGGCATTGTCAATGATCCTATGTGTCGTTTATGTTCTACTGAGGTGGAATCGGTAGAGCACATTTTTTGTTCTTGTCAGTTTGCAAAGGGTATTTGGGAGTGTGTTGGTCGCCGTTATGGTATTCTTACTACGGATTCTCAGATATTTGGGGATCGGTATTTGATAATGGGACTAAACAGGTTCAGGTACGCCATGGCTTTCATTGGAGTTCCTTCTTTCCCTTATTACTTTGGGGTTTGTGGAAAGCTCGTAATGAGCTTGTTTTTAGTACGAAGACTCCTGTGGCGGAACAAATTATTGCTTATGTAGTGAAACTCATGATGGAAACTGGATAGGTTTTCTTTTCAGGTAAGGAGTCGGATGGGGCGTCAGGTCAGTTAATTACTTGGCAACCCCCTCCTCCGGGATGTTTCTTGTTAAATTCGGATGGCTCTCGTCAACAATTGGATAACCATGATTCTGTGGGTGGGCTAATTCGAGATGCCTCAGGACTCTGGGTTTCTGGATTTATGGTTAATATTGGTTTCACAAGCAGTTTGAAGGCTGAATTATGGGGAGTGAGGCAAGGGTTGTTACTTGCGAAGGAAAGGGGTTGTGTTCCGTTAATTGTGGAGTTAGATGCTGCAGTGGTTGTAAATTTTCTGAAAAATCCTATAGTTGATACTCACCCATGCTTTACTCTAGTTCAGGATTGTTTGGAGTTGATTAAGGGCAGCTGGATTATGGAGATACGATATATTTATCGAGAGCGAAATCGATGTGCCGACTGTATGGCGTTGTTAGCACATGAGACGGCCTATGGTGTTACGGAGTGTAATGAGCCTCCAGATCAGATTCTCACCTTGCTGCAGGAAGACCGAACTGGAATTGGTGTTATGAGACCTTAGTTGCTGTCATTCTCTACTTTTTCTAGTACTTTTGTAGCAAAAAAAAATAGTATTTTCCTATACTTCATGCAATTCTAAACAAAATATAAAAATAAATTATTTTCCTAGCTGAAGTATTAGCAAAGGTAATGAGCCCGTAAACCCTAGCCTCTCCTTTCTCCCCTTCTCCCTCTCCTAGTTTTTTTAGTTATCGTTAGTGTTTTGACTACTTCTCCTTCTTCTTGGTTGTCATGCTAAGGGGGAGGAGGATTTTGTTTTTGTTAATTTCTTTATTTTTCAATAAATGATTCAGATCTACAGATCTGTCCAATTTTTATTTGAGTTTGTTTTTTGAGTCGGTTGGAGTCAGTTTGTTTTTTCGAGTTAGTTTCGAGTCTAGTCTTAGTTCTTTTGGAATCTGAGTTATCCAGTCTGAATTTTATGATAGTTTTAAGCATGATCAACTTTTTATTTATTCAGATTTGTGGTAAAATTGTTGTAATCTTTTTCCTTTGGGTGCCAAGGAAGAGATCTATCCATCGAATCAATCACTTGATCATCGTTGATCAAAACTTTTTGTTTAGAAGAACAAGCAACACGAGGGGGTGATATCCATGATATATAGCGAGACATCAACATGATTCACGACAGGCGTTTTGGATTTCCAAGAAGATCCAGTTCTTCAGGTGCAAAAAGTAATCGGTTACAGAGTTTCACTAACATTTGATGTAATAAGAGATGCTATTCTTAAAATTATTGTAAAATCAGTTGCATATGAATATGAATGAAATGAAAGTTTTTTATTTTCTAAAAAAAAAAATATTTTCCTAACTGACCTAGATTCCAGCCAAAATAAGAAGGTGGCATAGCTATATGCTCACCATTTTTCCTAACTTTTATATGGTATGGTAGATCTCAAAAAAATATTACGGTATCGGTATGGTATTATTATGAAGGATCAATTTGTAATATATTTTTTATTCTCACATATTCATATTTTCATACAATTTTATTTTATTATATTCTCTATTACCAAATTTAGCTAAAAATTTTAATTATTTTATTTGAGATAATTTTTATTATTTTACTGTGTTAGGATATTAGTGATTGTAATTATGGCGACATATAATGACATAACAATTTGGTAAGACATGTAACATTACTATTACTTAAAATTCCTAACATTTTTACTTGATGATGTAAGAACTAATTATTGAATTTCTTACTCCAATTGTAAAGTTTTTTTTTGTTTGAGTGACTCTAATTGTTTTTTTTAGATAAGAATCATTTTCATTTCTTGAAGAGATTGGGATTACAAATGCACAAGAAGATCCGTACACTGCTACATGATTAGCTACATTACCGAAACACTAATCTATGAGTCAACAAACCCCTTCCCAACAAACAAACCCAGTAAAATCTCATTACAATTCAAATAAATCTCTATGCCCAAACATCTAAATGAGAATTCAACCCAAACTAGAAACTCTACCATAAATAAACTATCTACCTACCAAATAAACAAACAAATTACAAACAAACTCACATTCCGTGAGAGTTGAACCTGAGACATCATAGTCTAGGTAGGCTGGAACTAAGAGTCCAGTACTCTACCACCAGGGCAAATGCCTGATGGCGAAGATTAAAATTTTAAGCATACTACTAATTTTATACTAAAAAAACATATTATTAGTGCGAGTATTCGACTTGATTGCCTGAAACCGAACCTGATCCAACCCGATTCGACCAAAAAATCCGCTCAATTCGAAACAGAAATGACCTGACCCCAAATTCTTAATGACCCGAATCTGATAATTAAAAATAAGACTGGTGGCACTATTCTTTTTGCTAAGCCTAGAATGCTAAGAAAAAAAAAGTGGGATTCTTAAAAAGATTGTACAAATTTTTTGCAACACAGTTGAAGCGAATGATAGATTTGACAGGCAGCTTCAAGAGAATCCCATTCACCAAATCTGCAGGCACAGACACCCCATTGCTTTTCTTGTTGGCCGCCATTACTAACATGTAAACGTACCTATTCCTCGTGCAAGATAAAAACAATTCTATGAAATAAAAGCACCTCTCAACTTTGTTGTATGGCCATTGCAACCGTTCAAACAATATTTTTGGGGTTTTTTTTTGTCCAACTACATTTTTCAAACGAACAAGAGCCAATCCAAATTGATATTGTTTGAGGGGTTTTTTTTTTCTTTCTTTCTTTTCTACATGTGAACATGAAAATGAAAGTAAATTAACTAGCTATCCTTTTCTCATTCCTAAATTCACCTCACCCGTCCCAAGATTCGAACTTGAGACCTCCTATTAGAGGCCCAAGCTCTTAACCATTGGCATGTCCTCTTTGGGACAATATTGTAAAAGGTTGCTATAGAACGAATATGCTTATTTTTAAAATGATTCATGTCGTTAAGTTATATGCACCTGTTCAAAAATTCATTCCAATCAAACGGTGTGCAACTGTCAATATATCTTACGGTAACAAAAATGTATTATTTTGAGATATATTAAGATTCGACCCCTGGTTCATATTTCGGTGATCACATATAGTCAAAAGTATTTGTTTTCCTTTTATTGGTGGGTTGAAACCTATTGTGATTTTTTTTCCCTTTTTTATTTGAGATTGTTAGGAATTAAACCTTAGTCACTGAAACTGGTTAGGATCACCCCTCATTTGAGGGGTGATCTTGATCTTAGATTACTAGTGATCTTAGATCACTGATGATCTTTGATTACCTAGGTTTAGGGTGGTAATCTAGATCACCTCCAGAGGGATGACCAGGGGGTAATCCAGATTACCACAAAAAAAAAATACACAACATTTGCAAACGGGGTGATCTAAGATTACCACCCAAGATCACAAGAGGTGATAAAAAATCACCCCTAACCAAACACCCTTAACACTCCATTAGACCATATTTAAGATGAGTATATTGTGATTTTTTTTTTTGGTATTGATCGCTCTCATATATATAATTGATTATAGTTGTTTTTCCATGTTTAATGTAGGAGTGACAAAATTAGTTTCGGACGGTAAAATTGAATAAAATATATAGTCACAAAACTTGAACCGGAACTAGAATCATTTACTTGGCGTAGTATCACAAAGGGTGTGGAGCTGCTTTGTCATGGGCTTCAGTGGAGAATTGGAGATGGTCGAAGTGTGAGGGTGCTGCAAGATAGATGGGTTACGAAAATTACAAAGTTTATTCCACATACAAGTCATGGGAAGGTTGCTGATGATCTTCTTGTCTCGGAACTAATGAATGAGGCAGGAGATAGCTGGAACTATGAGGTTATTACGAGTATTTTTGATAGTTCGGAAGCTGAAGCTATCTTTCAAATTATGCTTAGTTCAAGGCTGCAACATGATCTTCTAGTATGGCATTTTGATAACAAGGGCCAGTATACTACAAGAAGTGGATATCGTGTTCTTCACAATATGCTAAATGTTGATGAGAATGTGAATCCGAATGTGATGCATTGAGACAAATTTGGAGTGCAGCCGTTCCACTGAAGGTGCGAGTCTTCTCTTGGGACATGTTTCATGAATCATTACCGGTCATGGTAAATCTTGCCAATAGAGGTATGGATGTGGATTTGCCTTGCCCTTTGTGTCGACTAGAGTCGGAAACCTGTCTTCATGCGATTAAATATTGCATATATCCTGCGGAAGTTTGGTCTCATATTTGAAACTTTTTCTTGAATGATGATTCCTTCCTTCATGAAGATGACCCGGAGCGAGAGAAGGAGAATTTAGATTCCAATTCTGATTGGTTTAATATAGTTCTTATCGTTGTTTGGGTTATATGGGAAGCTCGAAACATGTTTGTTTTTGAAGATAAATCTTTTCGACATCTCGAAACCGTTTCTTTTTCTTATTCCTATACAAAAGAATTTGCTAGATGCCAAACAATTGTTGAAATCCCTTCTCCCCGTGTTACTAGTAGATGGCAACCTCCTTTGGAGGGTTTGGTGAAGGTCAATTTTGATGGCGCCGTGAATGCAGCTGGGTGTTTTGGTAGTTATGGGATCATAGCTCGGGACTCAACAGGGCAACCGCTTGGGGCTTGTGCTGGTAAGATTGTTCATGTCAATGATTCCTTCGTAGCAGAGAGTTTTGCAACTGTGAGAGCTTTGAGCTGGCAAAGGAGATGAGTTTTGTGAAGATTGTTGTTGAGGCTGATGTTTTAAGCATTATTCGAAAGATCACTTCTTCAACCGCTGATTTTTTGCCTATTGGAGCTTATATTGCTAAAGCAAAAGGACTTAACTTATTGTTTCAATCTTGTTGCTTTCAACATGTCATACGTAATTGCAACTTAGTTGCCTATGAGCTTGCTCGATATGGTTTGTCACTAAGTGATGAAATTGTATGGGTAGAGGACATACCATCTTGGTTACATGATCCTTTTACAGTCCATTTCCTTATCATAATGAATCGAGCTGCTTATATCTAAAAAAAAAAAAACTTAGAACGGGAACTATTTTATTTTTGATCAATATATATTTTTATAAAATCTATATCTACAATGTATATTATTTTCTTTAATCACATATACACATATTGTTTAATTTAATATACTTTATAGTAATTAATTATCACTATTATTTTTGTTGGCATGATAATTATCACTATTCTATTTTATATATATTTATATATACATATCACTTTCCTTAATAAATAAAATATTTTTAAATAATTTTTTATTATTTTAATTAAAATTAATTGATTAATTTTGTTGAGATAATTAATTGATTAATAAATATAGTAGTAATTAGAGATATAATATATAATATAATATATATAATAATATAATATGTACTCCATTATATTATATATATCTTTTTGAGGAAATAAGTATAATTTAAAATCGGTACCAAAAAAAATATAATTTAAAATAATTAAAATGTATAAAATTTTTAAAATGAAAAAAAAAAAGAAGGTTCCGGTCGTAGCAATCTACTGTAATTCCAAATTTGCCCATAGCTTTCTCCTTTAGGAA